TTAATAAATGCTGTATTTTGTTCCACTCTATCCTTTTTTGAAACTTTAATTGCATAGTCTGCATTTTTAAAAATTGCACAATCAATACATGGATACATTACACTTTCTCTTATCTAATGTGATCAAGAGCAATAGCTGGTCAGTTAATTGATAAAATTTGTTAGAACAGCAATCATAATAAATCACACACATGTACACACACACAAACATACATAAACACCTTAAGCTTTTTATTTTACCTTAAAGCATACACATTTATATTCATATATCAATCTTTTGATGAAAGATCAAAGCCTTTTCTTTGAGTATGGTCTTCTGATTGGTGTTCCCCTTTTTTCCTTCCATAAACCTTACCCATAATGCATCATCTGATTTCCAGCATTGGGTTATTTAATGTAGAACAAGAATATAGGCACTTCCAAAGCAATTGCAGTACAGAATTCTTCCAGATTTTGATAGCTTTTCTTTCCCAGTGTTTTACTGCTGTCATAGCCAAAGCTCATTTGACAGCATATTTTGAGGGATTCCTCTTACTGAGTCTTTACAAAGCATTCAACTTAGTTTTCATAGAAACAATTCTTGCTGTTAGTGCTCATATTTTGTTTGATATACATTTCTATTTAATTGAATTATGTAATTACAATAACAAGTGGTACTGTCAAAAACATGTTCAGGAAAGTAATTATGAGTAAGCATGGAACTCAGTCAGTGAGTGTAGAAGGGCACGAATGTAGTAGAGTAGCCTACTAGCCATGAGCTTTCTTCATGACATTGACATCTGCCACTGTTTTAAAGATGGAATAGAGAACATTGTCTGTGCATTGTTGAGTTAAAGTTGGTTAACACAGTTTCTACTGTTCTTGCTCATTAAAAAACAAAAAAAAAAAAACACAAACAATGTAGACACACACAGTTAAAAGTTAGAGACCCTTTTATTCTATCCTCTCTCCAGGGACAACTGCTGTGGATAGTTAGGTGTGTATCCCTCCAGACCTTTTCCTATGCATTTGCTTATACATGTGCATTGCTTGAGTCATATGATATGCCAGGCACCAAACTGAGGCCTTGTTGTGCATTTTCTTGTTTAATCATCACTACAACCCTGTGAGATGATATCACTATTACCTCCATTTTACAAGTGAGTAAACTGAGACTCAGAAAGGCTCAGTAATTTACCCAAGGTCACATAGTGACTAATTAGTTCTCCCTCCTGACAGGATTATTTTACTAATATATATGAATCAAATTAAATCTTTTGATCCTTTCATCTACTCATTCAATAACCATTTATTATTGACTTTGCCAGGCACTGTGCTTGATGCCAGGTATTCAAACACATGGTTTCCTTCTTCAGGTTCATGGAAAAGGCAGGTCAATCTCTGAGTTAAATAATCTGCCCTAATTCATCCCATTAGTAAATGGGTAGAAAAACTCAAAAGTCACTGCCATTGAGTCAATTCTGACTCATAGCGACCCCCATTGGGTTTCCAAGGACGTAAACCATTATGGAAGCATATTGTTCCATCTTTCTTCCATGAAGTGGCTGGTGAGTTCGAACCACTGACCTTTTGGGTGGCAGCCAAACGCCTTAGCCACTGTACCACCAGAGCTCCAAATGGGTCAAGCAGGACTAAAATGCAGGTTTATTTAGACAAATTTATATATGACAGCTCTAGACAAAGAAGATTTGGGAGATTGATACTTAAAGCTAACCACCTTAGATATTGATTCCATGAGCAGATGAGTTTGGAACAACTCTAAAAAATCAGTGTCCAATGGTTATGGCCCAGTTTGTGAATCAGAGATTATAAATACAAGTTTTAATAGGTTTGTTTTAAATAGCAACAATAATAATAATAAAAAAGATAGACACTATTATACTGTAATCCAAGGGAGGTAAGGGTAAGATAGGATTCAGGATTAGAGTTCCTTTTTACCTTGGGTGGGAGGACTGGTGGTGAAGAATTCAGATGCACTAAAAAGCTTGACTTGGGGGGCATTGGTGGTTCTCGACTTGCGTGTAGGAGATCCTAGTTGATTCTGGCTAATGCATTTCATGCACGGGTACCACCCACGTGTCATTGGAAGCTTGTGTGTTTTTATGATGTCAAACAGGTTTCAGTGGAGGTTCCAGACCAAGACAGACCAGGAAGAAAGGTTCAGCTTCTTCTGAAAAACTCTCTTGATTGCAATAATGCGATCTGCAACTGACTATGGAGATGGCCAACAGTTCCTTTCATTGCACGTGGGGTCGCCATGAGTTGGATGGCATCGGTAATGTTAGAGTTAGGGTTAAGGCTAGGTTTTAGGGTTAGGGCTCACTAGACAGTAACTAACAACAATAACAACAAGCAGCTTGATTAGAGTTTTGAAAGTGTCAGTTTAAATAAAGAACATAAATAAAGAGAATCGGAAGCCTAGAAAAGGGAACATAAAAGATGATTCTATGAAGAAGATATTATGAGAAAAAAAATCATAATATAAAAATTGAGGAATTGGATCATAAAGCTAGAAAAAAAAAAGAACGGCTGCATGTTGAGACAGAACCAAGATTTTACCTATTATGCAATACATTCCACATGGCTGGCTGGCCAAGTTCAACGTACACTAGAGAGGACTGAAGGGAAACGGCTCTGAGGAGACAGGGGTGGAGGAGTGAGGGGGTGTGGGTGGAGAGCTGAGCCACATAAGCCCCTGACCTCCAAATACAAAAATGCCAATGGGTTTTAGAGCCAGTTGGCAGCATGTATAGTGAAGGGAGAACCAGGGATTATTTTTATAAACATAGGATGGGATCTCACCAAAGGGAGCGAACAGAAAGCCTTGACTGGAAGGCTTACAAGAAGGCCTGTACACCCTTCGTGACTGTCCAAACAAATATACAAACACATGGAATGTGGCAGCGTGGATGGGCAGGATTAAGTGCCCCGAAGGAAAATCAGAATAAAAAATGAGGAGGAAAAAAAGCAAATCTTGAGTTTCTTAAATTGTTTGCAAAGAAACTGGAGTCTATGACGGAATTTGGTCCCCGGGACTGAAATGTTTCTTTTGTGTTGGAAAAAGTATTGCTGTCATATCTCTCGCTTTAGAAAAAAAAATTTCATAATAAAAATTCCGTGGCAGCTCCTTGTCTGGAGGACTTTAAAAATAGGAGCGATTTCATCCGTCTGGAATGGTCTGTGGCAGTACTTGCCTTAGGCAAGGTTGCCACACAGGCAAAAAAAATGCCCCCTCCCTCCTCGGGACTGGGCACCCCCTCCTCCAGCGCCCCCCAGTGCCTTTTGCTCCCCTCCACTCTCCCTTAGCTGACCCAATTTTCCTGGGCCCCAGCTCCAATGTGATTTCCCACATAAAATCAAACCTCCGCTTAGAAGCCTGGGGAAGCTGTTCTCTCTCCAGGTGCTAGGGGTGCAATAGACCTTACCTTTTGTGGCCTGTTGGCATTAAAAACAGAACCCTGCTTAAGCCCCTGCCTCTTGAGCTGGCGGAGCTTTGGGCGATGTAACCAAGTGCTGAGAAGTCCAGGCCGAGAGGGGGGTATTTGGGGTCGGCGGGGAAACGGGGTGCTGTGGGCCGCCTTTCTGGAAGCTATTTAATCCCACATGTGGGCTCTGTTCGTTCTGGTGCTGCCTTGAGGAAGAGGGTGGGGGTGAGGGGGTGAAGGACTCTGACCTCTCAAGGTTGCTGGTAATTCTCTGGGTTGGTGATTTCCACGTACGTTCCCCTGCCCCGGGCTTCCTTCGCGCTCTAGCCACTGTGTGACTCGGCTTTAACTAGGGGTTTTCAACAGCGTGTCTCTGTGCCTATCAGCTAGGGCCCAATTTTCCCATCACAGGCCTTCCCGAAAACAGCAAGCTTCGGGCTCCGAATGGCGGCTGCTGAAGATCAGCTGCAGCCACAGTCGCGCGCGAAGAGAGTTGCAGAGAAATTTTCAAAGCTCCTGTTCTCAGAGCAGCTTAAGAAAGGGGCTGTGTTGTGTTCACAGCGTGTGGGCTTTATGAGAAAACAAGAATGTGGGGCCTTATGTGGACGACTGAGTATGTACGCCGTTACAGGTTTGGTGGGGAAAGCCGGCACATGAAATTTACTCAAGGAGTTCATAAGAGTAAGTTCATGTTGGGTCAACACACATTCGAGAGCCCCGACTATGTGCTAGGCTTTGAATTAGATCTGGTGAGGAACGAGGAAAAGAAAATAAGGTCGCTGCTCTGAAGAATCCGGTCTAATGGGAAAGATAGACATCAGGTGTAAGGAGTGCCGTGCTTGAGGTAAGCCAGGGTCTGTGGGAGGATGGGGGGCCTGCTGCAGATAGGGAACAGAGGAAGCTCTCCCCAGGGAGATGACATCTGAGCTGAGTAGGAGTAAGCCAAACCAAAGAAAGGTGGGAAGGGCGGTGCATGCGGAAGGAACGACAGGAGCAAAGGCACGGAGCCACGGAAAGAGTTGACACAAGTGCAGAATCGCTAGCAGGCTGCAATTATTTGAGAAGGAAGTGTCAGGGAGTAGCAAGAGAGGCTTTGGGGGGCAGGCAGGGCCCAGTGAAGGAAGGGCTCACCTCTGGGCTGAGGACTACAGACTTTACCCCCAGGGGAGCCAGGGAAGGATTCCAAACAGGGAGTGATAGGCTCAGATTTGCATCTTGATTAAACTATCTGTCAGTTTGAGGAAAATCATTCAAATTGTCTGTGGGATGAATTGATTAAAGAGTTCAGTTGAAGGGGTAGATTTGCAGATCTAGCCATGGTTGAGTCAAAGGCTATCTTTTGCCTAGAGTGTATGTCATTAGTGGGAGGCTCCTTTAGAGGTGCCTCTAAAACAATCTATAGACAGATGAGTGTATGTACCTGGAGAACTCAACAGCATTTAGGAGGTCTTCTATGGTGCATAAAGGAGCCAGGACTGACCAAGAGTCTTGTTCAATTCTACCCTTTACTCCACACTGCAGTAACACTATCAGGTCAGGGATGCAAACCGGGCTGTGCTCTCTTTGTTTTGTTTAGCAAAAGTCACCTGGAAAGGCGCTGTTTAACCTGAGTTGCAGCCATTTAAATCTTGCTGAAAAGGAATATTTTGGATTGGAATTCTGCAGCCATTCTGGAAATAATGTAAGTTGCTTTCATGACAAGTCTCTTTGTGTCTAGAATTGCTTCTAAATGGGGTCTGCAGCCGGACATGTAGGGCCCAAGCACCTGGCTGAAAAAGGAAAAATCATTTATACCCTTGCAAATGATTGGACTAAATAAGTAGTCACAGAAACCCCTGTTTATTAAAAGTCACACCAGTTGACCAAACAAATTCCTCAGCCCCACACTCCTGTTATATCACCCTGTGAACTGCTATCTACTTTAACTTTCCACTGGCTAAACTGCTACCCTCAGAATTGAGACTATTAACTTCATCGAAGGATCCAGGGGATACCGTTTTCCCTCTTTCAGCTCCAGATTCTTCCTGATAGTCCCTGCCTGGCCACATCTATAATCTGGGCACCTTTCTGGGAAGGCTTTTAAGCTGGCATTTGGGGGCTGTAGGATTCAAACGTGGAGCCAAATGCCTTCATTAGTCTTTGTAGCAAATAATGAGCCTTGTATGTGACACTTCTGTCATCCTACTGAGGCAGGGGAGCAGTGATTCAAATGTCAACAACAAAGTGTTTATAGATCAACACTGTTCACTGTCGTGGGGAAAATACAAGGGGCAGATTGAGTGTAGGGAAGCTATGTCATCTCTTTGATGTTGCTGTTTCTAACTAGCTTCAGAAGTCGAAAGGGTTCTGTTATTTATTTCGTGTTGACCTTTTTCTGTTACTAAAAACAAAAAACATTGTACTCAATACCATGTTCTAACAATTTTTTCATTAATGTGATTGCAGGTTTGGTTGGAACTTCTAAAGCCTATAACAAAGCAAGTAAAAAGTAAGTATGGAAAATCATTTAAGGAATAGAGTTCCCAGTTACAACTTGAAAATACTTCAGCAATACCACATGATTCCTTACCTTAATCTAAGCAGAGAGAAGGGCTTTGATATATTATTTCAAGCCTTCATAAATCCAGGAAATGTAGTAATTAAAAAAAAAAAGCATTGAAATTTTGCCCGAGATGAAGGCCATCATGCTTCTGGGACTTTGAGTATATTGGAAGAACCCTGGTGATTACGGCGTTCTGTGGAACGGGTCTAGCAATATAACTGGGCTCTGCATTGCACATCTTCCTTGGTGTCCGTGGGCAATGCTGTTCACCTTCTGCTTGAAGATGTTCGTTTATATCTTGTCACAGGCATGGTCCATTCACTTCAGTTCATATGCGAGCACCTACTATGTATAAGATATTTTCCCTCTGCATATTGCAACCTACTGTGGTACCTCTCAAATGTCATTGTGTTGCATGAGAATCTATTGTTAAAATGCAGATTCCTGGGCATCAAGACCAAACCCCTTGCCAAGTTGGAGGCAGAGTAGAAACACACTCCATGGGGTTTTCATGGCTGGGCCCTTTCACAAATAGATCACCAGGCCTTTTGTTTATGAGGTGCCTGTGGGTGGACCCCTACCTCCAACCTTTTGGTTGCTAGCTGAGCATTTAACCCTTTGTGCCACCCTGGGACCTTCCGTAGGGAACCAGCAATGTGCATTTTTCATGAATTCTACAGGAGTTTCTGATACAGGTGGATTGCAGTCCACACTTAGAGAAACACTGTTTTTGTGTCTTTCTTTCTTTTTTTTTTTTTTAATTGTGATTTGGGGGACGATTTACAGAGCAAATTCACTTT